CTGATCTGGACCACACCGAGCAGCCAGGGGCCACCCGGGGGGAGAAAGTCCCTGGGAACCCTGCCTTCCCAGAAGCACCCACTGCACTGCCAGTCGGCAGCAGGCTGCTCGGCCAGAGGTCACCGAGACAAGCGTGGACCTGACTCTGGTGGGAGTTCTCTGATTTGCTGAAGGACATGCTCAAGATGGTTGACCTCATGAACTGGAAAAACAGAAGCAGGCCCTCTGGGCCCGAGGCAGGAGGTTTCGGAACACGCTGTGAGCAACTCTGAGTCCCGTCTCTGCCTGAGGATGCACACAGCTAACCTCAGGGCCGCCTCGGCCTGCTGGCGCCTCCGGCTGCCCGTGTCCCTCTGACCCAGCTGCTGGACCTGCCCTGGACACCACTGCTGCTCTTCACTGCCTCTGGACACTGCCAACTCGGTCACAGCTGGGCCCCGGCAATTCACTGGGCACTGCGGGCCTCGACAGAGCCTCCTGGAAGCCGCTGACTGTGGCTTCCCTCTCAGTCCCGGGCCTCAGTGATGGCACTTCCTGTGCCTCTGAGCTCTTAGGTGTTGAGGCGACAGCAGGTGCTCCGGGGCTCTGGTCCCCACCCCACAAGGCCATGGACAGACACAGCCAGGAGTAAACGGGGGCTGTGGATATGCGTGTGTTTATGAAAAACGGGCCTTTCCCAAGGCTGCCAGGGGCTGCCGGCGCCCTGAGCAAGGCTGCCGATGGGCACATCATACCAACCTGGCTTATCAGGCTGATGGTGACCTGATGGCTGGCTGCGGTGGCGTTTGTCAGAAATGCCCACTGAGAAGGGTCCTCTGCCCCTCCCTGCCACACTGTCCTCTTCGGAAGGAAGTCACCCTGAGCAATGGGGAGCTTGTCCCACCTCCTTGAGGGCAGAATATCTGTGTCAGTTATTTGGGATATTTTGTGGGAGATTTGACTCTTCCCAATCATTTATTTATATCAGTTTGGACTCATGGGTATTCATTTTATACTTTGGGTCAGAACACAATGCCACTTCACTTACTTTGTTGCTCAAACTCCTCCAGCTGTAGCAATAGGGAGCTCTTTCCTTGGCTCCTGTGTGTCTGTGACATTTTGACATCGTTGTTGGGGGGCGGGGTCACATTTCCTACCTCCTTGGAGGCTTTGGACCCCACCGATGTCAGGTGTCGACGCAGCAGAGACTCAGATGGACCCCCTCCTTCATTCCCCCGTGCCACCTGCTACTGGGCCTCTGAACCCCAAGCCCTGGCGGGGCCCCATGGGGAACCTCGGAGCTGCTGGACACACTGAACTTTAGACCTTGCCCTTTCCTCCCTCCCGCGGCCACTGCCCTGTAGAAACGGTGCCCTTTCCCCCAGTGGAGTCTGCCCAGTCCTGGCTCCAGAAAAGCTTTGTAACCTTGGGAATGTAACTCTATCCTCCATGTGTGTGAATAAACTTATTTAAAGGGCGAAACAAAACAACAACAAAATCTGCCTCTCGATTATCTTTGAGACCGACCTTATCTTCTCCATTCCTGGACTTCAGATCCCTGTTCTGTGGCCTGAGGCTGTTTTTATTACACATCCTCCCATCTGGCCAGGGTAGCATCAAGGCCTTTGGAGTCAACCAGGCTCGGATTCCAATCCTGGTGGCCCTGGGCTGTCACGTGTTCGCTCACAGCCTCCTTTTCCTCGCCTAGAAAAGAGGGATCATAATAACCCCCCCGTCACTCCCACCGAGTGGGCACCTGCTGTGTGTATGAAGCGCTGACTTAGGAAAAGCACCTACTAGTGATATGATGCCTAACATCCCAGTAGGTGCTCAACAAAAGGAAGCTATTATCACTATTAGTAAGAACACTGCAGTCAGGGTGGGTAGGTGGGAGGTAATCGACCAAAGACCTTGTATGCATATATGTATAATCCATGGACACAGACAGAGGGGTGGTGAGGGCCTGGGGCAGGGGCAGGGGTGGACTGGAGGGGATTGATGGGGGCGGGGGGAACATATGTAAGACTTCCAACAATAAAGATTTAAAAATAAATAAAATAAAGAATACTGTAGTCACTTATCTCCCTCACCCCAGTCTCTTCCTCAGATCCAGTCTCTACTCCAAAACGCAGACCTAACGATGTCACTCTTCCACTCGCAATCCTTTGGGAATCCAGAAACCCCCTGGAATTGGAGATCTTTGGAATCTTGCCCCGCTCTCTGTGCCTGGCCTCATCTCCCTTCCCTCCCCAAATCCTCCGGCCTATTTCGTTCCCCAGGCAGCCCTCACTTGGCACCTCCTTGCCTTTGCTTGTTCTGTAGCCTCTGCCCACAGTGATCGTCCAGCCTTTCTCCACCTGGGACATTCAGTTCCAGGTCTCTGTTCTCAGTGACAGAAACCAGCCAGCCAGCTGGAGTGTGTGGCTGCTTCCTGACCCACGGCACCTCCCTACATGTCGATGTGTCTGCCTCGCTCCCGACCCCTCACTGACCAGGCCGCCCTCACTGACCAGGCCCCCCTCACTGACCAGGCCCCCCTCACCGACCAGGCTGCCCTCACTGACCAGGCCCCCTGCACTGACCAGGCCCCCCTCACTGACCAGGCCGCCCAAAGGTCAGGGTCATGTTTTATTACCCCAAGTGGTACGGAGGAAAGGGCATGGACCTAGAGTCCCATAAACCTGGGTGTGACCTGCATTTGGAGCTTATCAGCTGTGTGGCTTCTTACAGGAATGTTGTAAAGATTTAAGTAGATAATCCATGTAAACTACTTCCCATAATGCCCAGCACCCAGAAAACGCTTAATAAATGGTCACTTGCTCCCTTTTATTAATACCAGGCAGCCAGGAGTTGGCTGCTCTGCCAGGCTCCGGTTATTGATGGATTCAAGGCTAAAAATAGAGCTGCAGCCTTGGGGAGCAGGTCCTTCCAGAGCGGGGAACTGACGCCCTTGGTGCTGTGGGTGGGAAGGAGCCTGCTTCTCCCCCAGGGGCCTCTCAGAGAAATAAATCTTGATGCCTCTGGCTCTCTCCCACTGGTGGTGGGGGCGGGGGGCAAGGGAGCAGGGGGACATGCAGAAGCGGCCAGCCCAGACCAGGCTGATGAGCAATCCTAGCAGAGGGCTTTATAAGCTGACAAGCTGGCCTTTAACTCCCGCCCTGCCACTCATTGGCTCTGTGACCTTGGGCAAGCGACTTTCCCTCTCTGGGGATCATTATTATTCTCTAGCCTGGGAAACTGACAACGGTAATAACATAGTTTGGAATAACAAGCACCTTACATGCACAGAGAGAGGCCTGGAGGCCAATGACAAGCTCTGGGATTCTGAATAATGACATCCCCTCTCTGAGCCTCAGTTTGCGGATCTCTGAAATAGGCGCAGTCGCCCTATCTTTACAAGGCTGTGGTGAGGACCTAGAGAGGTCGTGGACAGCAATCGCTGACAGCAGTATCATCTGATGGGAACCTGAGTCATCTAATGGCCCATCTCCCCAGTGAGAGCAGAAACAGAAATTTATTTGAGCTGCTTGTAGCTATCGATCCGCCAGGCTTGGAAAATGCAAAAAAAAAAAAAAAATGCATTCAGCAAGAAAA